CAGGCTTCGGTTATTCTTCTGCCTCAGCCTCCTGGATAGCTGGGAGTACAGGTACGTGCCACCATAACCAGCTAATTTTTTGTATTTTGTGTATAGAGAGGGAATCGTCATGTTGCTGCGGCTGGTCTTGAGCTCCTGGGCTCAAGTGATCCTCCTGCCTTGGCCTCCCAAATTGTTGAGATTACTGATGTGAGCCACTGTGCTCAGCAATGAATAATTCTTTATAAGGGGACAAACCCTGTCTGAGCATGATGGCTCATGCCTGGAATCCCAGCACTTTGGGAGAATTGCTTGAGACAAAGAATTAGAGAGCAGCTGGGGCAACATAGCATAATCCTGTGTCTATTACTTAAAATTCTAAATGAAAGTCTGAAAAGCAGAATTTCCCACCTATTCTCTCTGAGGGAGCCTTCATCTACACAACAAGGTCTGCTTTGCTAGCCAAGCTTTCTTCCTTTCCTCTTGCAGAATCTGTCTTGCTATTAAATCTGACTTACCCATCAAACCTGGGATTTTTTTGGCCATGCCACATCTGCATTCGTTCCTATCCTGGAATGGTATACAAGTTTTTGTCTTATTGATGGGTGGGTCTTCATTCTGAAGGCTCCCATATATACATGTTAAATTTGTATAACTTTTCTCCTATTAATCTGCTTAACTTCCTTGATCTGAAATTTTTTTCCTGTTTTTCCACCTTGTTTTATTAAAAAAAGCACAAAAGTAAAACATGCATATCTAAAAATGAGCATTTTCATATCTCATGAATCAAGGTATTTTCCATATATAACCAGAAAATGTTGTTCATATTTAATAATTCCTTAACATCAACACAGAGTAATATTAAAACCTTATTAATTGTATAACGTGGAATTCTGAAAGCTTAGTTTGAATTCGTTTCATTTTCTCTGTTATACATTGAAGAGAGTGTGGTGTTATGGTATTTGTTCTCATCCAGGGTAATGTTGGGTGTGTTAGGCCTCTGGGGAAGGCTCCTGACCTTCTGCTGCCCTCTTTCCACTCTAATGTTTCCCCACTTTTTTGATTGTGGTCTTAAAACCCTCCCATGAGAGGGTCCCACTGACTTCACGAAGAGTTTTAGTCTTGGAAATACTCATGATACTCCCTATCTGTAGCTGTGTGTCTCAAGTTAGTTCAGAATAAACTACGTGTGTGGACTGCTAAAATAACTTATTTCTAAATGCTGAAAGTCAAAAATTGCAGATTTCCTTGTCTAACCAGATGCAGAAAAGCATATGTTATGAAGGATCAGGACTCCAACAGGCACTAACATCACTGCCTTCCAAAATTAGTGGCCTTCCTGGCATATGAACACCCTTTGGGACTGTGCTCCAATGTCTCTCTGGGTTGCTACTTGGCTCTTTGTGAAAGATCAAGATACTCCCATAGTCTAGACCAATGTCAGGCTCTCCAGTGTGTCCTGTTCATCACCCTCACCCTGCACTTCTATTGTTACTGTCATTGGCCATTCCAACACTGTGCTTGCATCCTGTGGAAAGTCACATTTGGGGTCAAGTGGATGGTGGTGTTTCTACTCTTCGGTGAAAAGTATCAGGGTGCATTTGGCCTTCAAGGCAGAAGGATGAGACGGGGGTTAGATCCAGGTGCACCCACCTGTTTTTTAAATTTATTTTTATTTTTTTGTGATGGAGTCTCACTCTGCTCATCAGGCTGGAGAGTGCAATGGCCTATTTTCAGTTCAGTGTAACATCCCGCCTCCCAGGCTCAAACAATTCTCCTGTCTCAACCTCCTGAGTAGCTGGAATTACAGGCACACACCATGATGCCCATCTAATTTTTGTATTTTTAGTAGAGATGGGGTTTCACCATGTTGGCCAGGCTGGTCTTGAACTCCTGACCTCAAGTGATCCACCCGCCGCAGCCTCCCAAAGTGCTGGGATTACAGGTGTGAGCCACTGCACCTGGTCAGGTGCCACCATCTCTGCCACTGCCCTGTCTTCCCTGCTGTGAGTCACTTTGTGTGATCTGACAATCAATGATTCCACCCTTCAGTGATGTGGATACATTATCTGGGACTGGGTATGTCATCTCCAAACACAAATAGGGTTTGGTCAGCGATTGATGCTGAACCCTTTGGTGCCTGATGTTGACCTTAGGGTTTTTTTAAAATAAGGGTTTCTGAAGAAAAGCTTCATTGGTACCTTAAGAGAAGTGATTGAATTGTTCTACGCCATTGAATAATATATAAAAGTCACTTTTCCACGTTGCTGTTAACTTTACACTGCTGAGATAAGCAGGCTGTTGACAAGTTAGCATCAACAGCACATTATCAGAGAAAGAAAGGCTTGTATTTAGAATATTTACACAAATTTATTACCCTCCTATGTCTCAGTAAAGCAATTTGAAAAAATATAGCTTTATAAGGCATAAATGAACATGTACGTTTTAACTAAGGTACTTTCTAGTAAACAATGCCAATACATTTCAGGAAATATTTTAGTCTTTAGAGAATAAGGCAAAAACAGGACCAGGAGTCTAGAGCTGACCTCCCCTCACCACAAGGCCAAGTCTTTTTTCTTGAGACGGAGTTCCACTCTTTTTACCCACGCAGTAGTGCAATGGTGCCATCTTGGCCCACTGCAACCTCTGCCCTCCCCCTGGATTCAAGTGATTCTTCTGTCTCAGCCTCCTGACTAGCTAGGATTACAGAAGCATGCCACCACGCCCGGCTAATTTTTGTATTTTTAGTAGAGATGGGGTTTCATCACATTGGTCAGGCTGGTCTCAAACCACTGACCTCAGGTGATCCACCTGCCTCAGCCTCCCAATGTGCTGGGATTACAGGTGTGAGCCACTGTGTCCAGCCAAGGCCAAGTCTTTTACCACTGGAGAGACAGAAGTCACACACCGGGCATATGAGACAACGCTCCTCAGTGACCATGATGGATCAGGACAAAAAAAGAGAACATGAACATTTTATAACTACATTTCTAAATGTGATAAAAGAAAACATATTTCAAATCATAACCGTGACCAAAATTTTTCTCCTTACTAATGTGACTTGTAATTCTCATACATCCCACAGTCATTTATGACTTGTGGTCATATTTACCACTACGCTATATTACACCCTTGCTGACAGCAGGTATGGCACTGGTGGTTTTGGGGAAGAAGGCACTCAGAGGTATATGAGATAACTTTTGGTATTATGAGTGAATGAAAAATTAGGGTTGAGGCTGGGCCCAGTGGTTCATGTCTGGAATCCTAGCACTTTAGGAAGCCAAGGTGAGTGGATCACGAGGTCTGGAGTTTGAGACTAGCCTGGCTAATATGGTAAAATTCCATCTCTACTAAAAAATACAAATATTAGCTGGTGGAGCACGCCTGTAGTCCCAGCTACTCACGGGGGTGAAGCAGGAGAATCGCTTGAACCTAGGAGGTGGAGGTGGCAGTAAGCTGTGATGCACCACTGCACTCTATCCTGGGCGACAGAATGCGACTGTTTTAAAACACACACACACACACACACACACACACACACACACACACACACTCAGCAAAATTAGGGTCGAAATAAAAAATAAGTACATAAGCATGAAAAGTAAAATTTCTTTTTTTTTTTTTGAGACGGAGTCTCGCTTTGTCACCCAGGCTAGAGTGCAGTGGCGCGATCTCAGCTCACTGCAAGCTCCACCTCCCAGGTTCACACCATTTTCCTGCCTCAGCCTCCCGAGTAGCTGGGACTACAGGCGTCAGCCACCACGCCCAGCTAATTTTTTTTTTTTTTTGTATATTTAGTAGAGATGGGGTTTCACTGTGTTAGCCAGGATGGTCTCGATCTCCTGATCTCGTGATCTGCCCTCCTCGGCCTCCCAAAGTGCTGGGATTACACGCGTGAGAGACTGCGCCTGGCAGTTTTCTTTTGAGATGGAGTCTTGCTCTGTTGCCAGGCTGGAATGCAGTGGTGTGATCTCTGCTCACTGCAACCGCCGCCTCCCAGGTTCAAGTGATTCTCCTGCCTCAGCCTCCCGAGTAGCTGGGACTACAGGTGCATGCCACCACACCCAGCTAATTTTGTATTTTTAGTAGAGACAGGGTTTCACCATGTTGGTCAGAATGGTCTCGATCCCTTGACCTCATGATCTGCCTGCCTCGGCCTCCCAAAGTACTGGGATTACAGGCATGAGCCACTGGCCACTGTGCCTGGTGCAAAAAGTACAATTTCCATGAGGAAAAAGATGTCTGACATTTTATCCACATGGTAATACTGACTCACAATGTCCAAGTAATAACAATGTAACATTATAAGCTTGATCTAATACATAAAACCAACAGGGTATTTTATTATAGCTTAATTATTTAAAAACAACATGTTAGTATACAGTTATGATAAAGTTAATTGTTTACATTCATTATCTGTATTCAAAGAATCTTGGCAGATCTGAAGGCTTTCCCACACTGCTTACATTCATAGGGTTTCTCCCAAGTGTGAATGCTTCCATGCCATTGAAGGTGCGAGGCTGATCTGAAGGCTTTCCCACACTGCTTACATTCATAGGGCTTCACTCCAGTGTAAGTCCTTTCATGATATTGAAGGGAACTAGAAGAAATGCTTTTCCACATCGCATACACTCATAGGGTTTCTCTCCCATGTGAGTCCTTTCATGACGTTGAAAAGAAGTAAAAGAAATGAAGGCTTGGCCGGGCGCGGTGGCTCAAGCCTGTAATCCCAGCACTTTGGGAGGCCGAGGCGGGTGGATCACGAGGTCAGGAGATCGAGACTATCCTGGCTAACATGGTGAAACCCCGTCTCTACTAAAAATACAAAAAACTAGCCGGGCGTGGTGGTGGGCGCCTGTAGTCTCAGCTACTTGGGAGGCTGAGGCGGGAGAATGGCGTGAACCCGGGAGGCAGAGCTTGCAGTGAGCCGAGATCACGCCACTGCACTCCAGCCTGGGAGACACAGCGAGACTCCGTCTCAAAAAAAAAAAAAAAAAAAAAAAGAAATGAAGGCTTTCCCACACTGCTTACATTGATAGGGTTTCTCCCCAGTGTGAGTCATTTCATGGTATCGAAAAGAACTGGAACATGTGAAAGCTTTGCCACATTGCTTGCATTCATAGTGTTTCCTTCCAGTGTGAGTCTATTCATGTCCATAAAAGGAACCAGGCTAGCTGAATGCTTTCCCACAACCCTTACATTCATATGGCTTCTCCCCCATATGAGTCCTTGCATGTATATGCAAGGAAGAAAAATAATTGAATGCTTTTCCACATTCCTTACATTCATAGTGTTTCTCTCCAATGTGTGTTCTTGCATGTACTTGAAGGATCTTGGCAGATGTGAATCCATTCCCACAATGCTTACATTCATAGGGCTTTTCTCCTCTGTGCTTCCTTTCATGTTTTTGAAAAGAAGAGAATTTACAGAATGCTTTTTCACATTCCTTACATTCATAGGGTTTCTCTCCAGTGTGAGTTCTTTCATGCATCTGAAGGTTTGAGGCAGATCTGAAGGCTTTCCCACATTGCTTACACTCATAGGGTTTCTCTCCAGTGTGAGTCCTACTATGCTTTCGAAGGTTTGAGGCACAACTGAAGGCTTTCCCACATTGCTTACACTCATAGGGTTTCTCTCCAGTGTGAGTCCTACCATGCATTCGAAGGTGTGAGGCAGATCTGAAGGCTTTCCCACACTGCTTACATTCATAGGGTTTCTCTCCAGTATGAGTCCTTTCATGATATCGAAGGGAATTGCAACATCTGAAGGCTTTACCACATTGCTTGCATTTGTAGGGTTTCTCTCCACTGTGAGTTTTTTCATGTGTTTGAAATGACTTGGCAGAATAAAAGCTTTTCTCACATATCTTACATTTATAAGGTCTTTCTCCAGAGGGCATTCTTATGTGTTTTTCTGTCTTTTCATGAATTTGAAGGTACTTCACATATCTGAAGGCTTTCCCACATTCCTTACATTCATAGGGTTTCTCTCCAGTATGAGTCCTACCATGCACTCGAAGGTGTGAGGTAGATCTGAAGGCTTTCCCACATTCCTTACATTCATAGGGTTTCTCTCCAGTGTGAGTCCCACCGTGCACTCGAAGCTGTGAGGCAGATCTGAAGGCTTTCCCACACTCCTTACACTCATAGGGTTTCTCTCCAGTGTGAATCCTTTCATGATATCGAAAGGAACTGGAAAGATTGAAAGCTTTACCACATTGGTTGCATTTATAGCGTTTCTCTCCAGTGTGAGTTTTTTCATGTGTTTGAAATGACTTGGCAGAATAAAAGCCTTTCTCACATATCTTACATTTATAAGGTCTTTCTCCAGAGTTCATTCTGTGTGTCTGAAAACTTGTAAGATAGGATAAGGCTTCCCCATATTGCTTACATTCATACGTCTTTTTCCCAGAGTGGGTCTTTTCATGTCTACGAACAGAACTGGTATACGCGAATGCTTTTCCACATTCTTTGCATTGATAAGGCTTCTCCCCCATGTGACTCCTTTCATGTCTATGATAGGAACTGGAACTATGAAATGCTTTATCACATTTGCTACATTCATAGGGCTTCTCCCCAGTGTGAGTTCTTTCATGTATTTGAAGGGTAGCAGAATAACTAAAGGATTTACCACATTGTTTACATTCATATGGTTTCTCTCCAGCGTGTGTTCTTTCATGGATAAGACATAAACTGAAACAATGGAAGGCTTTCCCACAAAATTTACATTTATAAGGTCCATCCCCTTTGTGCATTACCATGTGTCTTCGAATGCTTGAATGGAAAATAAAGGTTTTTCCACATTCTTTACAAGCATAGGGTTTCTCTCCAATGCGATCCCTTTCTTGTGTTCTAATGTAGGGGCGATACCTGAAGGTTTTCTTATTCTTAGGTTGTTGACACTTATATGGCTTCGGTTGACACTTATATGGCTTTGGTCCATATTCCTGATACTCATATGCCTTGTGTCCAATGTCACCTCTGATGTTCATATTAAAAGATGAGTTACCTATGCCAACTTCACCACACACAAAGCTGTCACATGATTTTACTTCAGGAGAAGTTTGCTTCTCCTGGAAGTTCAGCCTGTCATCTGGAACCTGGGTAAAAGTTTCTCCACAATGACTGTCTTCTTTAATTTCATTGACTTTCTCTTCTATGAGACTCCTGTAAAACATGAGAAGCACATTATGAAGGGTTTGTTTATAAGCAATTTTATATTCATTGACAAGTATTGCACTTGCATTTTTAACACTGTCCATCAAAGTGTAGGCTTTCGGCCCTGGCTGAATTGTTTGAAGATGACTGGACATGTTCTACAAGATGACTCAGCCATACCTATTGTTTAAAAAAATGTTCATAAGGGGCTTAATACTATTCCCATGTAAACTATTTTACAATTACTAAATACTCTATGTCGTTTTTCTTTTGAGTCTGGTACTTGTCCTGTTGCCCATGCTGGAGTGCTATGATATCATCATAGCTTACTGTAGCCTTTACTGGCTCAAGTGATCCTCCTGCCTCAGCCTCCTGAGTAGCTGGGACTACTGGTGAATACCACAATGCCCAGCTAATTTTTGGCCGTTGTTGATATGTGGTCTCGCTATATTGCACAGGCTGTTCTTGAACTGCTGGCCTCAAGCTATCTTCCTATCTCCACTTCTCAAAGGACTGGGATTACAGGAGTGAGCCCTCAGCCTCAGTCACATTTAAATATATGTGTTTTGAGAAAATATTCTAAGAAGAAATGAATTTGATGCTGGATTTAGTTCTTTGTTTCACTTCTCTTCAACATATTCTCATATTCTAAGATTGTGTAGAGAGACAGTGCTTTCTCTTGTAAGTGCAAATTACCTGAAGCTTCTTCTGGGGATTTTGTACTCATATTCAATGTTCTTGTCTTTCCACTTTTTTCCTAAAATACAGACACAGAAAAATAGTCCTGAAGCGTATAAAATTGTGAAAAAATTATTAGATTCTATGCCCATGATTTACTGCAGCCATGCCTTATTTATTCATCAAAGTATTTCCTGTCTGTGTTCAAAATCACTCAGCAACATTGATGAGCTAGAAACACTGGTTCACTAATGCACTGAGGAAAGGAAAACTGTCATCCTTACCTATAGAGGTCAGGTTCCTGAAAGTTTCCAGCATCACTTCCCTGAAGAGATTCTTCTGGGAAATATCCAGCAACGTCCACTCTTCCTGGGTGAAGTTCACAGCCACATCCTCAAAGGCCACTGGGTCCTGAAACATCTCACATGTGTAGAGGAGGATTGGTGAGAGTGACAGCACTGGGGGCCTAGACTCTATTCCCAAGAAGTTCTCAGGATGCCGTGGACTCCAAATACTTATTCCCTGCTTTGGTCATCAGATCCCTTTCTCTCCTTCTATACTTACTTTCTTCCATAAAGCAACTTTTATTTTTTTATTTTTTTGAGACAGAGTTTCGCTCTTGTTGCCCAGGCTGGAGTGCAATGGCGTGATATTGGCTCACAACCGGGGTTCAAGTGATTCTCCTGCCTCAGCCTTCCGAGTAGCTGGGATTATAGGCATGAGCCACCACGCCCAGCTAATTTTGTATTTTTAGTACAGATGGGGTTTCTCCATGTTGGTCAGGCTGGTTTCAAACTCCCAACCTCAGGTGATACACCTGCCTCGACCTCCCAAAGTGCTGGGATTACAGGCGTGAGCCACTGTGTCCAGCCAGCAATTTTTTTTTTTTTTCTTAACAGAGTCTCTCTCTGTTGCCCAGGCTGGAGTTGAATGGCACAATCTTGGTTCACTACGACCTCTGCCACCTGGGTTCACGTGATTCTCATGCCTCAGTCTCCTCGGTAGTTGAAACCACAGGCATGTGCCACTGTGTCCAGCTAGTTCATAAAGCAATTGTGATGTTAGAACTGAACAAGTGGTAGGCAACAGCAGGATACGAAAATGTGTGTTTTCACTGAAACTAAGGAAGGAGACCACCTCTCTTATTGTCTCATATTTAAGAAAACGAAAGAGGAAGCAAAAGTTAGAGGAAGGCAGAAACGAGATCAATAGTCAGACAGTCTGGTGCCACACCCCAGGCCTGGTAGTTAAAAATCAACTCCTGACCTAACCAATTGTATTAGCTATAGATGCAGATATTGTATGAGAAAGCATTCTGAAACTCTGTGTTCTGTTCTGCTCTGTCCTGTTAATGATGCATGCAGCCCCAGTTATGCACCCCATGCTGGCTCAATCAATCACGATCCTTTCACGTGGACTCCCATAGAGTTGTAAGTCTTTAAAAGGGGCAGGAATTTCTCTCTCTCAGGGAGCTTGGTTTTTAAGATGCAAGTCTGCCAACACTCCCAGCCAAATAAAGCCACTTCCTTCTCTAACCCAGTGTCTGAGAGGTTTTGTCTGTGGCTCGTCCTGCTACATTTCTTGGTTCCCTGACCGGCAAGCAAGGTGACTAGCAGATGGCCAAGGCAACCCCTTAGGCGGCTTAAGCCTGCCCTGTGGAGCATCCCTGCAGGGGACACTGGCCAGCTTGAGTGATGCGTATCCTGAGAGTGCTCCCGGGTAGGCAATTGCACCAGTGGAACGCCTCACCAGAGCAGTGCATGGCAGGCCCTCATGGAGAATCAATACAGTGGCTGGACACTAGGAAGGAATTGGAACTTGGAGTCTGGACATCTGGAACACGGTAAGACCAGTCTTGGGAACTTGCCCACTCCATTTGAGTGGAAGTGTGGCCTGATCACCCACGGTGTGCCTTTATCGGCACTTTGTCTTTGGTTTTGATTTTGACTTTGCTTGAAGTGCTTGACGAACAGGCGTGCCCTTATTGGCACTTCAGCTTTGGTTCTGATTTTGATTTAGTGTGAATTAGACGAGTGAGTGACCTTTACCCTTTCCGTCTTACAGTGTGAGTGTTGTCTTGTCTCAAGAGAAAAACGGGTCAGACACAAGGTAAGCCCACCCCACTAGGAACTATGTTAAAAAAATTTTCAAAAAGGGATTTAAGGGAGACTATGGAGTTACTGTAACACCAGGAAAACTTAGAACTTTGTGTGAGACAGACTGGCCAGCATTAGAGGTGGATTGGCCATCAGAAGGAAGCCTTGATAGGTCCCTTATTTCAAAGGTATGGCACAAGATTACCTGTAAGCCAGGGCATCTAGACCAGTTCCTGTACACAGACACTTGGTTACAGCTGGTTTTACATCCCCCCGCCAGTGGTTGAGAGGACAGGCAGCAGCACTGTTAGTGGCAAAGGGACAGATAGCCCATGAGGGATCTTGCTCCACCCGCCGAGGGAAGTCAGCTCCTAAAGTTCTATCTGACCCAATGTCAGAGGACCCATGGCAGGAAATGGCACCAGCAATGCCCCCCGCCCTTACCTGGAAGAGAGACTCCCCACTCCTGAGCCCACAGCACCTGTGCCTCCACCAGACACATACACCCCTAGACCAACCAGAGCAGACAAGAAAGAATGTGAAGCTGCAGGAGAAACCCCTCCCTTGGCAGCTCATTTACAACCTAAGACTGGAAAGACAAGTGCCCCCAGTTAAAGAAGAAACAAAATGGCTCCAAGCCAGAGGTCTCAGGCAAGGACGAAAGGGCCTTGTTTAATTTGGCAGAAGGGTTACTGGACTAAGGGGGACCCGGCTCAGGTGCCCCCAATGAGCCCATGGTCAGGATGACAGTGGGGACAAGGACATTTGAGTTTCCTGTCAATACTAGTGCTGAACATTCAGTAGTAACCAGCCCGGTCGCCCCCTTATCCAAAAAGACTATTGATACAATCGAAGCCACAGGAGTCTCGGCAAAACAAGCTTTCTGCTTGCCCTGGACTTGTACTGTAGGGGGACACGAAGTAATTCACCAGTTCTTGTACATTCCCAACTGCTCCTTGCCCTTGCTGGGAAGGGACTTGCTTAGCAAGCTGAGAGCCACCATCTCTTTTTACAAAGCACAGCTCTTTTACAGCTAAAGTTATCTGGAAAGGGAGTCATCATGGCCCTTACGGTCCCCCGGGAGGAGGAATGAAGACTTTTCTTAACCAAGCCAGGCTAAGAGATAAGACCAGCTCTGGCTGAGTGGTGGTCAAAGCTGTGGGCGGAAGATAACCCTCCAGGGCTGGCAGTCAACCAAACCCCTGTACTTACAGAAGTTAAGCCTGGGGCCCAGCTGGTCAGGCAAAAACAGTACCCGGTCCTCCAGAGAAGCTCTTGAAGGTATCCAGGTCCATCTCAAGCACCTGAGAGCCTTTGGAATTATAGTCCCTTGTCAGTCTCCATGGAACACTCCCCTCCTGCCTTTTCCCAAGCCGGGGACCAAAGACCACAGGCCAGTACAGGACTTGCGCTTGGTCAATCAAGCTCAGAAAGAAAGCGGGTCATTTGCAGCCTACTGTAGCCTAAAACCAGAAGGCAGGTGAGAGAATTCTTAGGGTTCTGCAGACTGTGGATCCCAAACTTTGCAGTACTGGCCAAACCTCTATATGGGGTCACAAAGGCGGGTACTGGGAACCTTTTGAATGGGAATCCCAACAACAGTGAGCCTTTCATGAGTTAAAAGAAAAACTTATGTCAGTCCCAGCCCTGGGGCTACCTGATCTGACAAAGCCTTTTACACTGTATGTGTCAGAAAAAGAAAAAAATGGCAGTTGGAGTTCTAACCCAGACTGTGGGGCCCTGGCCAAGGCCAGTGGCCTACCTTTTACCTACTTATTCTAAAGAAGAAAAGGACTTTCTCCAGGCAGAGGGAGGACAGGTGATGGAAGAAGGATGGATCCGGTTACTGGATGGGAGAGTAGCTGTGCCACAGCTGCTGGGAACTGCAGTCATACTGGCTGTGCATAAAACCACCCATCTAGGCCAGGAGTCACTTGAAAAGTTGTTAGGCCAGTACTTCTACATCTCATTTACCAGACCTTGCCAAAACAGTGGCACAGCGATGTATTATCTGCCAACAACACGATGCAAGGCAGGATCCAACCATCCCGCCCGGCATACAAGCTTATGGAGCAGCTTCCGCTGAAGATCTGTAAGTAGACTTCACAGAAGTGCCAAAATGTGAAGATAGCAAGTATTTATTAGTTCTTGTGGGTGGGTGGAGGCTTATCCAACGCGAACTGAGAAAGCTGTTGAGGTAACCCGTGTGCTTCTTCGAGATCTTATTCCTAGGTTTGAACTGCCCTTACGAATTGGCTCAAATAACGGGCTGGTGTTTATGGCTGACTTGGTACAGAAAACAGCACGGGTATTGGGGATCACATGGATACTGCATGCTGCCTACCGACCTCAGAGTTCCGGAAAGGTGGAGCAGATGAGTCAGACTATCAAAAATAGTTTAGGGAAAGCATGTCAAGAAACAGGATTAAAATGGGTACAAGCTCTCCCTGTGGTATTATTTAAGATTAAATTTACCCCTTCTAGAAAAACAGGATATTCCTCTTATGAAATATTATATCATAGACCTCCTCCCAAACTATGGGGACTTCCAGGCACTCCCTGAGAGTTAGGTGAAATTAAGTTACAGCGACAGCTACAGGCCTTAGGAAAAATTACACAAACAATCTCAGCCTGGGTAAATGAGAAATGCCCCATTAGCTTATTCTCCCCAGTTCACCCTTTCTCCCCATGTGATCGAGTGTGGATCAAGGACTGGAACGTAGCCCCCTTGTGCCCATGGTGGAAGGGACACCAGACCACTCCCACTGCCATGAAGGTAGAGGGAATCCCGGCCTGGATCTGCCACGGTTATGTAAAACCTTCAGTACCTAAGGCCGGGGAGGCGAGACCAGGCCCAGATAACTCATGCAAAGTGACTCTGAAAAAGACGACGAGCCCTGCTCCCGTCACACCTGGAAGTTGACTGGTCTACGTGAGGCCGAAGCATGAGGAAATGTGTCATGGGACTCATTCTCCTTAAAATTTGGACTTCAACAATAAGGACTTCAACTGATTTTCCCCCCACGGAAGATTGTTCCCCGTGTATTCATCAGGTTACTGAGGTAGGGCTACAAGTTAAAACAATCTTCCTGTTTTATAGTTATTATGAATGCCTAGAAATTTTAAAAGGAACTTGCCTGTATAACACGACTCAGTACAAAGTGTGTAACCCAGGAAATGCCCAACCTGATGTGTACTATAACCCATCTGAGTCTCCCATGATCATAGTCTTTGAAATAAGATTTAAAAACTAGTTCTTTTCTAGGCAATAGAAGTAAAAAAAATAGCTAAAACAGAAAAAAAAGAAAGCCCCATTTACATGTTCAACCAGATCATACGGTTACAAGCTATCTTAGAAATAACCACTAATAAAATTGGCAGAGCTTTAAATGTTTTAGCCCGGTAAGAAACCCAGATGAAAAATGCTATCTATCAAAATAGATGGGCACTAGACTACTTGCTAGCAACTAAAGGAGGGGCTATGGAAAATTTAACCTAACCAATTGCTGTCTGCATATAAATAATCAAGGGCCAAGTAGTCAAAAATACAGTTAAGGACATAACAAAGTTGGCACATGTGCCTGTACAGGTTTGGCATGGGTTTAATCCTAAATCTGTATTTGGAAAATGGTTTCTAGCACTAGGAGGATTTAAAATGCTTATAAAGGTCGGGCGCGGTGGCTCACGCCTGTAATCCCAGCACTTTGGGAGGCTGAGGCAGGCGGATCACAAGGTCAGGAGATTGAGACCATCCTGGCGAACACGGTGAAACCCTGTCTCTACTGAAAATACAAAAAAATTAGCCGAGCGTGGTGGCAGGCACCTGTAGTCCCAGCTTCTAGGGAGGCTGAGGCAGGAGAATGGCGTTAACCTGGGAGGCGGCGGAGCTTGCAATGAGCGGAGATTGTGCCACCGCACTCCAGCCTGGGCGACAGAGCGAGACTCCGTCTCAAAAAAAAAGAAAATGCTTATAAAGAAATCATCATAATAATAGAAACCTGCTTGTTGCTCCCCTGCTTGCTACCTCATACCTCAGAAAAAGAAAGAGGAAGCAAAAGTTAAAGGAAAGCAGAAATGAGATCAATAGACAGCCCAGTGCCACACCCTAGGCCTGGTAGTTAAAAATCAACTCCTGGCCAGGTGCAGTGGCTCACGCCTTTAATCCCAGCACTTTGGAAGGCAGCGGCGGGCAGATCACGAGGTCAGGAGATCAAGACCATCCTGGCTAACACAGTGAAACCCTGTCTCTACTAAAAATACAAAAAATTAGCCAGGCGTGGTGGCAGGCACCTGTAGTTCTGTAGTCCCAGCTACTCGGGAGGCTGAGGCAGGAGGATGGTGTGAACCCGGGAGGCAGAGCTTGCAGTGAGCCGAGATTGAGCCACTGCATTCCAGCCTGGGTGACAGAGTGAGACTTTGTCTCAAAAAAAAAAAAAAAAAAATCACCTCCTGACCTAACCACTTGTATATCTATAGATTCCAGACATTGTATGAGAAAGCATTGTGAAACTCTGTTCTATTCTGCTCTGTCCTGTCACCGATGCATGCAGATCCAGTTACGCACCCTATCCTTGCTTAATCGATCATGATCCTTTCACGTGGACCCCCTTAGAGTTGTAAGCCTTTAAAAGGGGCAGGAATTTCTCTCTCTCGGGGAGCTCGGTTTTTAAGATGCAAGTCTGCCGATGCTCCCGGCCAAATAAAGTCACTTCCTTCTCTAACCTGGTGTCTGAGATGTTATATCTGTGGCCTGTCCTGCTACAATCCAGGAAGAAAAGTGAGCTGCCTAGGCTGTCCCTAATGTCTCTTTGGACTGTGGGTCTGTAGCACCTGTCATAACAGAGTCCTATGAATTAATATGCAGAAAAAAGTTAACGTTAGCAGTCCTGAGGCTCTGTTTCCTTGAAAATGTCTGTTCCCAAAGTCTAATCTTTGATGACATTGTTAGAGAAGGCAGATAACTAGTCAAGAACAGGAGGGAAAGTCCAGGGGAAAGCCCACACCCCCAGGGACCACCCCAAACAGGCATGCTAGATATAAGCAGAGAAGAGGAGAAATACCTAAGTAGAAAGAAACATCCATTATGATGCCCAGGATTCACTCACTTCACAGTTATCCTGTCAGAATGTAGCTAGATAGATGGTAAGAAGGGCAAAGGGGACACTCCTAAGAAAAGTCTGGCACCCTAAGCACACAAGAGGGCAAACAAGAAACTCCTAAGAGATACCCAGGTGTAAAAAGCATAGATTCAATCACTATACGACCCTCCTGGCATGGCAGGAATGAGCAATGCAGCCACCCACATATCCACTGATGGCTGAATGGATAAACAAAATGTCCTAAGTATATACATACAATGGGATATTATTTATACTTAGAAAGTAACATCTTGGCCAGGCGCTGTGGCTCACGCCTGTAAGTCCAGCACTTTTGGAGGCTGAGGTGGGTCAATTACCTGAGGTTGGAGTTGGAGACCAGTCTGACCAACGTGGAGAAATTTTGTCTCTACTAAAAATACAAAATTAGCCAGGTGTGGTGGCGCATGCCTGTAATCCCAGCTACTCAGGAGGCTGAGGTAGGAGAATTGCTTGAACCTGAAAGGCAGAGATTGCGTTGAGCCAAGATTGCGCCATTGAACTCCAGCCTGCCGTCTCAAAAAAAAAAAAAAAGAAAATAACATCTTGCTCCATACTGCAATATGCATGCAACCTCACCTCAGGATAATTGCAATAAGCAAAATACAATAGAATTCATCTTACAGAACTTATGTAGATCTGTCAAACTATCTCAACTGTACATGTAAAATTCCTTAAGCTGGTAAGTTTTAAGTTTTGTTTTACAATAAGTAATGATAATAAATCATGGTAGCAGCCAGGTGTGGTGACTCATGCCTACAATTCCAGTACTTTGGGAGGCCAAGGCAGGTGTAATTATGGAGGTTAGCAGTTTGAGATCTGCCTGGCCAAAATGATGGAACTCCACCTCTACGAAAAATACAAAAATCAGCCAGGCCCAACAGCATGGTACTGGTACCAAAACAGAGATATAGACCAATGGAACAGAACAGAGCCCTCAGAAATAATACCACACATCTACAACCATCTGATCTTTGACAAACCTGACAAAAACAAGGAATGGGGAAAGGATTCCCTATTTCATAAATGGGGCTGGGAAAACTGGCTAGCCATCTGTAGAAAGCTGAAACTGGATCCCTTCCTTACACCTTATACAAAAATTAATACCTGATGGATTAAAGACTTAAATGTCAGACCTAAAACCCTAAAAACCCTAGAAGAAAACCTAGGCAATACCATTCAGGACATAGGCATGGGCAAGGACTTCATGACTAAAACACCAAAGCAATGGCAACAAAAGCCAAAATTGACAAATGGGATCTAATTAAACTAGAGAGCTTCTGCACAGCAAAAGAAACTACCATCAGAGTGAACAGGCAACCTACAGAATGGGAGAAAGTTTTTGCAATATACCCATCTGACAAAGGGCTAATATTCAGAATCAACAAAGAACTCAAACAAATTTACAAGAAAAAATGAAACAACCCCATTAAAAAGTAGGCAAAGGATATGAACAGACACTTCTCAAAAGAAGACATTTATGCAGCCAACAGACACATGACAAAATGCTCATCACCACTGGCCATCAGAGAAATGCAAATCAAAACCACAATGAGATACCATCTCATACCAGTTAGAAAGGTGATAATTAAAAAGTCAGGAAACAATAGGTGCTGGAGAGGATGTGGAGAAATAGGAACACTTTTACACTGTTGGTGGGACTGTAAACTAGTCCAACCATTGTGGAAGACAGTGTAGCGATTCCTCAAGGATCTAGAACCAGAAATACCATTTGACCTAGCCATCCCATTACTGGGTATATACCCAAAGGATTACAAATCATGCTACTATAAAGACACATGCACACGTATGTTTATTGTGGCACTATTCACAATAGCAAAGACTTGGAACCAACCCAAATGTCCATCAATGATAGCCTGGATAAAGAAAATGTGGCACATACACACCATGGAATACTATGCAGCCATAAAAAAGGATGATTTCGTGTCCTTTGCAGGGACATGGATGCAGCTGGAAACCATCATTCTCAGCAAACTATCACAAGAACAGAAAACCAAACACCGCATGTTTTCACTCATAGGTGGGAACTGAACAATGAGACCCCTTGGACACAGGGCAGGGAATATCACACACTGGGGCCTGTCAGAGGGTGGAGGGCTAGGGGAGGGATAGCATTAGGAGAAATACCTAATGTAAATGATGAGGTGATGGGGGCAACAAACCAACATGGCACATGTTATACCTATGTATCAAACATGCACATTGTGTACATGTACCCTAGAACTTAAAAGTATAATTAAAAAACAAAACAAACAAAAAGAAAAAAACAAAGTAAAAGTGTTTGTTTTGGAAATGACTTTGTTAACAGAATAAAAAGACAAGTGACAGACTGGAACAAAATCTTTGCAGAACACCTATCTGATGAAGGACTGGTATCCAAAAGGTAATGAAGAACTCCTAAAATTCTACAAGAAAAAAACCCAACCAATCAAAAAAGAAGCAAAAAGCCAGGCACAGTGGCTCATGCCTGTAATCCCAGCACTTTGGGAGGCTGAGGCGGGTGGATCACTGAGGTCAGGAGTTTGAGACCAGCCTAACATGGTGAAACCCAGTCTCAACTCAAAATACAAAAATTAGCTAGGCCTGGTGGCGGGAGCCTGTAATCCCACCTACTCAGGAGGCTAAGGCAGAAGAATCGCTTGAACCCAGGAGGCAGATGTTGTAGTGAGCCGAGATTACACCACTGCACTCCAGCCTGGGCGACAGAGCCAGACTCCATCTCCAAAAAAAAAAAAAAAAAAAAAAAAGCAAGATCTTTCCAAGTATACCTCCCCGCAAAAACTGTAATTATGGCAAACAAACATATGACAGGATGCTTTACATTACATGTCATTTAAGAGCAAAATGGAAACAGGCCAGGCGCAGTGGCTCACGCCTGTAATACGACACATTGGGAAGCCAAGGCGGGTGGATAACCTGAGGTCAGGAGTTTGAGACCCGCCTGGCCAACATGGTAAAACCTCATCTCTACTAATAATACAAAAATTGGCCAGGTGAGGCAGTGCACACCTGTTAATCCCAGATACTCTAGAGGCTGAGTCAGGAGAATCACTTGAACCCAGGAGGTAGAGGCTGCAGTGAGCTGAGATTACTCCATTGCATTCCAGCCTGGGCAACAAGAGTGAAACTGCGTCTCCAAAAAAAAAAAAAGAAAGAAAAGAAAAAAAGAAAACAATGAGGCAGCAGCAAATACCTGGTGGAGTAGCTAAAATCCAAAACACTGACACTTGCTAATGCCAATGACAGTGAACTCTCATTCACTACCGATGTGAATGGAAACTTCTACAGCCAATTTGGAAGACAGTCTGCGGAGCTCTGAAAAAAATAAGCATGGTGTCCTACTGATTCAGTAGTCTCATTCCTACAATACTGACCCAAATGAACTGAAAACTGATGTCCACACAAAAGTCCTCCCACAAACATTTTTAGCAGCCTTACTCATGACTGCCAAAAACTAGACTCAATCAAGGTGAGTCTTTAAAAAAAAAAAAAAATAGAAGAGGTCTCACACTGTATCTACCAGGCTGGTCTCTAACTCCTGGCCTCAAGCAATCTTCTCACCTCAGTCTCCTGCATGCTGGGAACTCAGGGATGAGGCATCACACCAGGCTCAAGGTGAGCCTTTCAACAGGTGAATAAAGAAACAAACTATGGGCCGGGCGCAGTGGCTCAAGCCTGTAATCCCAGCACTTTGGGAGGCCGAGACGGGCGGATCACGAGGTTAGGAGATCGAGACCATCCTGGCTAACACGGTGAAACCCTGTCTCTACTAAAAAAAAAAAAAATACAAAAAACTAGCCAGGTGAGGTGGCGGGCGCCTGTAGTCCCAGCTACTCGGGAGGCTGAGGCAGGAGAATGGCGTAAACCTGGGAGGCGGAGCTTGCAGTGAGCTGAGATCCCGCTACTGCACTCCAGCCTGGGCGACAGAGAGAGACTCTGCCTCAAAAAAAAAAAAAAAAAAAGAAAAAGAAACAAACTATGGTAACACCTATCCAGTGTTAATGCTACTCAGTGGTGAAAGAAATGAGTGGCCGGACATGGTGGCTCACAAGTGGAATCCCAGCACTTTGGGAAGCTGAGGTGGGAGGATCACCTGAGCTGGGGTGTTTGAGACCCTGTCTCTAACAAAACAAAAACAAAAACAAAATTTTTTTTTTTATTGAGACAGAGTCTCGCTGTGTCGCCCAGGCTAGAGTGCAGTGGCGCAATCTCGGCTCACTGCAAGCTCTGCCTCCTGGGTTCACGCCATTCAAAAACAAAATTTTTTTAGATAAATAAACAAAAATAAAAAATACACGAGTTGTCAAGCAACAAAGCTTTCGAGAGACCTTCAACGCATATTTTTACATGAAGGAAGCAAGTCTGAAATGGTCCCTTACAGCATCATTCCAAATATGTGATATTCTGGAAAATGCAAAACTCTAGAGGCAGGAACATCATCATTTGTTGCCAGGGATAAACAGGGATGGCAAAAGAGTGAGGGGAAAGCCATGATTAGGAGGAGCACAGGGGATTTTGAGGTCTGTGAAATGCTTCTGTATAAGACTGTGATGGTGGATACATGACACATGCAGTTGTCTTAAACCACAGAACAAAAGAGTGAAGTTTAATGTAAAAGATGAACTTTAGGTAATAATAGCATTGGCTTCTTCAATTTTCGTCATGTTCACATGTAGTATATTCTTGCATCAACTGTAGGATACACCACACACAGTCAATATGGTTTCTTTGGTTTAAAACTTTTTTTTTTTTTGAAACAGGGTCTTGCTATGTCGCCGAGGCTGGCCTCCAACTCCTGAGTCCAAGCCATCCTCCCGTTTCAGCTTCTCTAAGTGGTAGGATTACAGCACCTGGCCAGTTAAGATGTTTAAAATAGGGGGAACTATGAGCTTGGAAGAAAAATGCGGGAACTCTGTGGATTATCTGCTCAATGTTTTGGGTAAACAACCACTGTTCTAAATCATAAAATCAACTAAATAAGAAAGTGAATTAACTATCATTCCATGTAAGGTTCACAACTGAGTTTAAATAAAACCCAATATAAAATACGACATATTGGCCGGGTGCAGTGGCTCATGCCTGTAATTCCAGCACTTTGGGAGGCCGAGGCAGGCGGATCACAAGGTCAGGAGATCGAGACCATCCTGGCTAACACGGTGAAACCCCGTCTCTACTAAAAATACAAAATATTAGCCGGGCGAGGTGGCGGGCGCCTGTAGTCCCAGCCTCTCAGGAGGCTGAGGCAGGAGAATGGCGTGAACCCGGGAGGTGGAGCTTGCAGTGAGCCAAGATCTCGCCACTGCACTCCAGCCTGGGCGACAAAGCGAGACTCCGTCTCAAAAAAAAGAAAAAAAAAAAAAATCACATATTGGCATATTGGTTATCATTTGCATAAAAAAAGTACAAAAATAAAATATACTGATATGGATGGGTACCCAGGTTGGGGAAGCATAAAGAAAAGTAGGGCAGTTGTCTTATCATTCACAGTACTGGCTCCATCAATATTTGGATTAATTGTGCAATTTTTTAATGTATTTTGTGCGTATGTAATACTTTTAGTTTCTGGAATGCATACCCTATACAGAAATAAATCTCAGTGAATTCTAATTATCTGCAACAACAGCATAACATATTGAAACTAATTTTTTTGTTTGTTTTCTTTTTTCTTGAAACAGGGTCTCATTCTGTTACCCAGGCTGGAGTGTAGTGGTGCAATCATAGCTCACTGCAGCCTCGAACTCCTAGGCTCAACAGTTCTTTCCACCTCAGTGTCCTGAGTAGCTGGGACTACAGGCACACATCACCATGACCAGGTAAGTTTTTGTATAGACAAGGTTTGCCATGTTGCCCAGCCTGGACTAATTTCTTCCTTTCTTTCTTTTTTTTTGAGACAAAGTTTCACTCTTGTTGCTGGAGTGCAATGGCACGATCTTGGGATCTTGGCTCACCGCAACCTCTGCCTCCCAGGTTCAAGTGATTCTCCTGCCTCAGCCTCCTGAATACCTGGGATTACAGGCCTGTGCCACCACGCCTGGCTAATTTTGTGTTTTTAGTAGAGATGGGGTTCTTCCATGTTCATCAGGGTGATCTCGAACTCCTGAATTAGGCTATCTGCATGCATTGGCCTCCCAAAGTGTTGGGATTACAGGCATGAGCCACCACGCCGGGCCACTAATTTCTATTAAAACTAATTTTCTTGAAGTCCAAAAAAGTCTCAAGAAGGATAAAAAATGATTATTATGCAAAAAGTTTACACTGAAAAACATCAATATAAAAGGCAATAATGGAAAAAATGCCACGTGTCCTTAAAAGGAGATTAAGTATCACTATGATGTAACCTCTCTGAAATATGCCTAGAGTTATATTTTATTTTATGAAATGTACAAGGCAGTTTGTTCCTTTCACTAAAATTAAGAAAAAAGTACTTCTAAAAACTGAAATAGAAGACAATGACTAAAAATAGCCAAGATCCTCTATAGAATATGGTTGGGGGGTGTTATGGTGTGAATATTTGCACCACTCCAAAAAAATCATACATTAATAACCTACCCCCAATATAGTATTAGAAGTTGACATCTCTGGGAAGTAATTAGGATTAGATGAGAACATAGGAGTAAATCCTTTCTGAATGAGATTAGTACTCTTACAAGAAGACACAGGAGAGCCGGCTCCCTCTCTTTTCTGTCAGGTGAAGAAACCACAAGATGACCATTTGCAAACCAAGAAGCAGGCCCTTACCAGATACTAGATCTGCCAGCTCCCTGAACGTGGACTTCACAACCTCAAGAACTGCCAGAAATAAATGTCTATTCTTTAAGTCACCCAGTCTATGGTAATTTGATACAGCAGCCCAACATGACTAAGACAGAGAGGCACTATCCCTACTACACACCGCAGCTTTGAACTCTAAACTAATTAACAGAAAATGGTATTATCAGAGATGGAAAGATAGGCCAAGGCCGGGCGCGGTGGCTCAAGCCTGTAATCCCAGCACTTTGGGAGGCCGAGATGGGCGGATCACGAGGTCAGGAGATCGAGACCATCCTGGCTAACACGGTGAAACCCCGTCTCTAGTAAAAAGTACAAAAAAAAAAACTAGCCAGGCGAGGTGGCGGGCGCCTATAGTCCCAGCTACTCGGGAGGCTGAGGCAGGAGAATGGCGTAAACCCGGGAGGCGGAGCTTGCAGTGAGCTGAGATCCGGCCACTGCACTCCAGCCTGGGCGACAGAGTGAGACTCTGTCTCAAAAAAAAAAAAAAAAAAAAAAAAAAAGAAAGATAGGCCAATGGAGAACAGCAAATTGTGAAAGTAGGGCACCTATGTTTTTTTGGTTTTTTTTTTGAGACAGAGTTTTGCTCTTGTTGCCCTGGCTAGAATCTCGGCAATCTCGGCTCACTGCAACCTCCACCTCCCAGGTTCAAGTGATTCTCCTGCCTCAGCCTCCCGAGTAGCTGGGATTACAGCCATGCACCACCATGCTTGGCTAATTTTGAATTTTAATAGTGATGGAGTTTCACCATATTGGTCAGGCTTGTCTCAAACTCCTGACCTCAGGTGATCTGCCAATCTCAGCCTCCCAAAGTGCTGGTATCACAGGCATGAGCCACCACACCCAGTCTGGGCATCTATTTAAGGTAATGTGAAACTATGACAAACCAGGTATTGCCAGCCAATGATATAAGTGGTGAACACTTAACAGAAAAAGCAGGGACAAATGGTTCTCTACCAGAGGATAATCAATCTACTACTCATCATCTCCATATACAGTAATTTAATTCATTCTAGAGCTGCCGGTTATAGTGAGTTCTTATAATCATATGTTACCTTAGCATGCATTTTCTTTATGGATTTCACATTCTCATAACAGAAGAAACCTTTACTCAAACTCAACAGAGTTTCCAGTTCTCCACCTCCTCCCAGTTCCTCCATGTGGTCAACTCACATGTAAGACTTACACAGCTGCATTCTGGTGACCACCTCCCTGTGGGACAGCTAGATACAACCTTGTTGGGGTGGCCTTTCCTTGTCTTTTGGGATATTTCTCTCTTCACAGTTGAGACAATCCAGAGGACAGGAATCATTTCTGCTTTTCCTCAATAGCAACATCCGATTAGCTGACCTGCCATGCGTCTCCAATTAATGGAAACTGAAGTTGGGAGAGAGAAGCAGAGCACCCATGAATTGGGTATCTAGATGAAAAGTATACCAGGCATCTCCTCCACCATTACTCATTCAGCTGCTCCCTTGGGAGGCCCCACTCCCCTAGGCACTGATACCCACTAGACCCTCCAAGAGACACGGCAACTGTGGGGGTCTTGGGTCAGCTACAGGCAGTTCTAAAACTCAAAACCTGGAAAAAGATAGAAGGGTGTACTGAAGACATACCACCCTGTAAAGTTTCCAGAAAGGAACCTCATCCCAAAGATATCCTGATAAGGTGTCTGTGTCTCAGAAAGATAACAGGAGGAGAGGCAGAAAGGATTTTTCAGGAAAATGTCTAGTGGTGATTCTCTGCTTTCCTCTCATGTGAAATGTTCAGACATTGATTTTACTGTAAGCCCTTGAAGAGTCAGGCTGTGGTATGAGAGTGGAGGACCTGCATTGCATATATTTGGAAAATGTGAGGTGAAACCAGTCGCCCTGGAAAGTGTGAAAAAATTTAAAGAAGAAGCAATGAGACCGAACTGTGTGTAGTACCCTAGGGTCCTACCTAAGGGCCCTGAAATCAAATTTAAATACAATTCTTGGAAATTACTAATTTATAGGGAAATAAAATTTATGCTTAATCAGGCACAATTTACCAATTACCTTGTAACTGCATACGTAGAAATTTTCTACCTATATAGGCTGTGTGAACAAGTAAATCAGGCCGGGTGCAGTGGTTCACACCCGTAATCCCACCACTTTGGGAGGCCAAGGTGGGCGGACCACTTGCGGACGGGAGTTTGAGACTAGCCTGGCCAACGTGGTAAAACCCCATCTTTACTAAAAATACAAAAATTAGCTGAGTGTGGTGGCACAGGCATGTAATCCCAGTTACTTGGGAGGCTGAGGCAGGAGAATTACTTGAACCCAGGAGGTGGAGGCTGTAGTGAGTGAGCTATCGCGCCACTGCACTCCAGCCTGGCCGACAGAGTGAGGCCTTGTCTCAAAACAAACAAACAACAAAAACAACAAAGTAATTCCAAAATTTAAGCTGACAGATCTCTCAATTATCTTGAAGCAATGTGATAATGGGGTTGAGTCACATGACACACAACTTTCACACAGACAGCTGGAACTCTCCTTTCCCTGATTACAGATTCACCTTCTTTCTTACCTATAGTGTTTTGTAAAATGTTGTAAATGACTGAAGGGAAACAGGAAAGACCCTTTCCCTCTTCACTTTTTTTTTTAATTTAATATGATTTTTCACAATTGAGATAGGGTCTCGCTATGTTGCCCAGGCTGGTCTTGAACTCCTGAGATCAAGCCATCCACTTGCCTTGGCCGCCCAAAGTGCTGGGGTTCTGGGTGTGAGCCATCCCGCCAGGCCCCTCTTCACTACTGATCTCTGTAGTAGACTAACTTCCCTCTTTACTTCCTCACACAAAGACTTCATGTCTATCACATTGTCTTCAGCTGGAATGTTAAATTCACTCTTTTAAATTGAAAAGGAAATAAAAACCAGCCAGAAAGAAAAGAATACAAGCTCTGGGGGGAAAAAAAAGCAAACCCTAACGAATTGAGATGTTAGCCAGGTGCAGTGGCTGACATCTGTAATCCCAGCACACTCCTGGAGGCCAAGGAAGCCAGGAGCCAGAGACCAGCCTGGGCAACATAACGAGACCTAACCCCTGCAAAAAATAAAAAATTAGCCAGGTGTGGTGGTGGGCAACTGTAGTCTCAGCTACTTGGGAGGCTGAGATGCCTGAGCCAGTGAGGTCAAGCCTGCAGTAAGCCATGATTGCACCACCGCTCCAGCCTGGGTCACAGAGCAAGGCATTGTCTCCAGAAAAAACTGTTGTATCTCATACATCAGCCTTCTATGGAAAACGTAATCCTGTTGTATTTATTTGTCTTTTGCCTATGTAAGTGTTAGGGAAACAGGTGCCTAGGGGAGCCAGAGTAACACCAATTCAAGTTCAGCTCCACCTTGAGACTAACAAGAAACACTCCTTGCCAGTCACAACCCATGATCATCAAATGTTTCCCATGAAGAAAACAGCCTACAGATGCCTGCAAGTATCCTTACACTCCCACAACAACAGAACGTCCTGATGTCCCAACACCCATAACAACATATGCTTTCAAGATAATTACAGTTGTTTTAATGCACTTGTATGCTAAAATGTAAAGGATAGTTTTCTTTAACTCAACAGAGTAATAAATTGTGTGACGCTGTCAGCCCACATGCAGGTAGGCACAGGTATTCTTTACATAGACAAGATCGCTATATAAGAAAAACTTAAAGACAGTACGTTCCTCCACTTGCTGTATGAGGATGCCTTACTCTGAAACAGAGAAGCTTTTTCTTTCTTTTTCCTTTTCTCTCCTTTTTTTTTTTTTTTTTTTAAATAGAGACAGGGTCTTGCTGTGTTAGCCAGGTTGGTCTTGAACTCTTTTTTGTTTGTTTTGTTTTTGCTTTTTGAGATGGGGTCTCACTCTGTTACCCACACTGGAGTGCAGTGGCGCATCCTCGGCTGGGCTGCAACCTTTGCTTCCGGGGTTCAAGTGATTCTCTCACCTCAGCCTCCCGACTACCTGGGCAGTACAGGTGCAAGTCACCACATCCAGTTAATTTTTGTTAGTTTTGGAAGAGATGGGGTTTATTGGGGCTATATTGCCCAGGCTGGTCTCGAACTCTTGAACTCAAGTGATCCTCCCACCTTGGCCTCCCAAAGTGCTTGGATTACAGGCCTAAGCCATCATGCTGGCCCAGAGTAGCTTTCAATAAACTCTCTTCTCACTACACTGTGTGACTCGTCTTGAATTCCTTCCTGTGTAAGATTCAAGAACTCTCCTGGGGTCTGATCAGGACCTCATTTTCCGGTAATACAAGCAAGAACTTAACTTCCAATTTTGGAGTACTGAGTCCATTTCTCTGGAGTCTTTTTCCTAAATGGGCCATTGCTATCTTTTTGCTTGAATAAACTCTTCCAATTGAAATCTGAAGCTTTCGATTATTTTGGAGTGACAAGTCCAAATAAGGCAACTGCATCTCTGCAACCAATCAAGCATTTATCTGGTTTGTCTCCTCATGTAACTTATAACAGCCTACCCCTAAACTGGTAAACTAAAAATAAAAACATCTGGCCTGGCAAGATGGCTCACATCTTTAATCCCAGCACTTTGGGAGGCCAAGGTGGGTGGATCACTTGAGGTCAGGAGTTCGAGAACAGCCTGGCCAACATGGTGAAACCCCATCTCTACTAAAAATACAAAAATTAGGAGGGTGTAGCGGTGCACGCCTGTAATACCAGCTACTCGGGAGGCTGAGGCAGCAGAATCGCTTGAATCCGGAAGGCGGAGGTTGCAGTGAGCCGAGATAGAGCCATTGCACTCCAGTCTGGGTGACAGGAGGCTCTGTCTCAAACCAAAACCAAAACAAAAACAAAGTACCTTCCCAGCTAAGTGAAGTGACCGGCTCTTGGCCAAGGGGACCCCCGAAAAACCCTGAAAATTGAGTTCTTCTGTATGACAAGATGGGAAGTGAGACGGTCTCCTTATACCCTCTCCCTTTAGGAGTTTAGAAATGCAGCAGCTTAATGCACATTCATGTAAAAATAGGTATCATCAGAATGGAAAAACGAACTCCATGGGGCAATAACATACCACATTACAAACAAGATCTAAGGCCACGTAAGGCAAAGGTAAAGTCACGCCTTAGAATTCATAAAATCTAGAGAAACAGGTCTGTTTTTTGGCTGGGATAGAATCACGTGGCAGATAACAGATCCTCTTCCTTCAGCATTCCTTCCTACCTCCTCCAAACTTTAGACAAAGCTTCACACTCTCAACCAGCTGCCACCTACAGAATCCCTCAACCACCTGTGCCTTCTAACCCCCCTTCCACAGGTTCCACCCTTTCTACCAAAGGAATTTACATCTTTCAGGCACTGATTCATTATTTTCCCTACAATTCCTGTCTCTCTGAAATGAATAAAACCAAACTGTCTTGAGCCGCCTCGGGACCACTTACTCCAGGCTTCTCGGGGTTGTGTTTCCCTCGGCCAAGGTCTCTCCTATTCGGCTCCAAATAAACTTCTTTATTTTACATAGTCTGGCTTTTTCCGCTGACAAACCACAAGCCAGGACTGGGTGTTTCTCATTCGTGAATCGCTGTTTGCTCAAATGAACTCTTTAATTGTTAACGTACCTCAGTTTAATTTTTAACAGGAGAAAGTGGGGGCTGGGGCCCCACAGACCGCTGCTCCTCCCACGCACGAACCCTACACCGAGTCAGGATTCCACCCATAACCCTCACGTTGCTTCCGCTCAATCTGGGGAGACGTCGGGCTGCGAGCGCGGAACTGCCCAGAGAAGGCTCCGGGGCCGTGGTCGCAGTCGCCGCACAGGGACGGGACAGGACGCCCGGGGTCCCAGCTGCCGGCCCAGCCCCGTCCAGCGGCCGAGGGGACCGAGGGCCAAACTGCTCAAGGAGGACTCGGTCCCAGACCCCGGAGTCGCCCACAGGGAGGCCCGGGTCCCGCCACAGCCTGTTCCCGCCTGTTCCAGGCAGCCCCTCCCCCGTCTCACGACACCCGGCCCCGCACACGCACCATTTCCTGGCTTTCAGGCGGCGTCCTCTCAACAGCTCCTGTGACTAGAGCAGGGAATAGCACAGGTGACTGAGCGACAGAAACCTGGGTACAGGCACCAGGTCCCTCTCCGGCTGGACAGACCGGACGGATCCCAACCGCCGCCCGCACAGCGACAAACGTGTGGGGAGGAACATAACCCCCTACATTTCCGGATGAACTGTGCGCAGGGCCACGCCCCCGCGCCTCTGATTGGATGAAATGCTAGGCCCCGCCCCCACATCTGAGTGACAGCTGAAGCCCTGGGTATCAGACCCCAGAGCCAGACTGACGGATTCTCTAAGGTTTCTCTAAGGCTTCTCTAAGGGCGAGCACTCTAGTTACTGGATATTTGCATTTCAGCCAAAGTTGGTGTTGATAGAAGAGAATACTAGCGTCATCTTCACTCAAGGGGCTGTCCCTGCTCCTTCGTTCTGCACCGGGTCACAGGAGTGTGCAGGGAATTTCAGACTCAGTGTCCACAGGAGCCATCTGCTGGCCTTAGAGCAGCAGTGGAACCGAGACCAGGCCGGGCACGACTGCACCAGGAGGCGAGGCATATGTCCTCGAGCGGGCCGGAATTGGGAATGAGGCGTGGCCAAGCCTTGGTCACACACCCCCATCCCCTCCTCACTGTGTGAAAGTGTTTTCTCCTTCCAGATCTTCATTTTCACCAGCAGGAAACTGTCACCATGTTTTAAGTTTCTGACCTGAGTAAACTGTCAACTTCATGAACGCTTTATCCAGGTGATGCCACCAAACAATTCTGCCTCTAGCTCTAGCCTGATCTTCACACTTTTTTTTTTTTTTTTTTTGAGACCGAGGCTGTCTTGCTCTGTAGCCCAGGCCGGAGTCCAGTGGCGCGATCTCAACTCATTGCAAGCTCCGCCTCCCCAGTTCACACCATTCTCCTGCCTCAGCCTCCCGAGTAGCTGGGACTAAAGGCGCCCGCCACCACGCCTGGCTAATATTTTTTTTTTTTTTTTTTTTTGAGACGGAGTCTGGCTCTGTCGCCCAGGCTGGAGTGCAGTGGCCGGATCTCAGCTCACTGCAAGCTCCGCCTCCCGGGTTTGCGCCATTCTCCTGCCTCAGCCTCCCGAGTAGCTGGGACTACAGGCGCCCGCCACCTTGCCCGGCTAGTTTTTTGTATTTTTTAGTAGAGACGGGGTTTCACCGTGTTAGCCAGGATGGTCTCGATCTCCTGACCTCGTGATCCGCCCGTCTCGGCCTCCCAAAGTGCTGGGATTACAGGCTTGAGCCACCGCGCCCGGCCTATATTTTGTATTTTTAGTAGAGACGGGGTTTTACCATCCTGGTTTCAGCCAGGATGGTCTCGATCTCCTGACCTCGTGATCCGCCCACCTCGGCCTCCCAAAGTGCTGGGATTACAGGCGTCAGTCACCGCGCCCGGCCACACTTTTTTTTTAAATCTATACAAATAACTCTGACCCCAGCAACCCCATGCATGTCAAACACCAAATCCTGCCCAGAAAACAGCTGCAGGCTCCAGCTGCACAACACCACAAAGGACAGACGCCACAAATGCTTCTGCACCTGGGCCTTCTGCTTTCCAGGGCTCTGCAGCTTCTCGGGATCCCCACTCCTTCTGGAGCTGCTCTGAGCAGCTGGAGGCCACCTGTAGAAGGGGGTGGGCTGCCCGGGAAGCCACCAGGGAAGCTCTCTTTCTCTCCCTTTGCAGGCTCCAGACTGTCCTCAACGTGGAGTCACTGGCCTCGGGCTCTGCTTCCTTCTGCAGGTTATTCAGCTACTTCTCACCCCATCCTTTAGTTCTTCGAGACAAACACCCTCAATCCCATTGTGTGAATAAGACACCAGCAGAGTCCCTGCTCTCCTTCTATGCTTATGTATAAAGTGGGGGAGGAAAAATCTAAGACAACTTAAGTGCATTTGAAAGATTTCCAGGTCACGGTGGAGGTGGCAGCTGAGGGACCCGCAGTCAATGATACTGCAGCACCTTCAGGCCAGGCTGATGGGAGAGAGGGTGGAGAGCTGCAGCCGGATGTGGATAGGTGGAGGGACCAGCCCTGGGAACTGGGCTCTGCTGCAGCGCGGCTCTAGGGCCTGGAGCCCGGGAGAGCAGAGATGGGGGCTCCCAGGACAGGAAACTCGGAGAGGAGAAAGTCGGGTGGCTTCCATGGTACGAGGGTGCTGTGGCAGGTGGTGTAGGCCTGTGGCTATCATAACTAAGCCCAAATGGGACTTGAAAACTTGGATTCTGTGGGAATTTATGAAGAGGAAGGCTCTGATGACAAAGAAGTCATCAGTGAGGAGAGGGATGAGGGTCACTGGCAAGCTCGCTTCCTTATGGAAAGAAAAGTGAATGCTCAACTACTGCAGCAAAATGTGGTCAAAGGATGAGACTCTCGCTGTCAGGGAATAGACTGCTGCAGAACTCTTAGAGATTGCAAAAACCTTCAAACAACAGCCTGGGAGACCGGGTGCCATGGCTCCTGCCTGTAATCTCAACATTTTAGGAGGCAGGATCACTTGAAGCCCGAAGTTGAAGACCAGTGAAGTGAGACACTCGGATCTACATAAATTTATTTTTTAATTTGCCAGGAGAAGTGGTGTGTACCTATAGTCTCAGCTACTCAGGAGGCTGAGGCAGGAGGATCACTCGAGCCCCAAAGTTTGGGGCTTCTGTAAGCTATGATCAGGCTACTGCACTTCAGCAAGACACTGTCTCAAAAAAAAAAATCAAAATCAAAACCAAACAAACAAAAAGTCATAAAAAGCCCACCAAACTCCCTGGGGAAACCCTGACCCCCTTGGATGGTCTAATTGTAAAACAGCAGGTGGTGATATTTCCTTATGGACTAGATCATTCTAGCCACGTAAGAGGCTTGGACTACTGAGGATTTACCAGGTGGGATGACCTCCTTGCAATCAATGGAAAAGGCCCTGGTGAAACCATCCCTTTAAACTTTTATCAAATTCATCAGGGAGGAAGGGAGGAGAAAAATTTAAACCAAGCTTGTAGCACCTACAGCATTAAGCATTAGGTCAGCTTGTTCTCTGACCTTCCTCATATTTGTTTCATACCTAGTGTCCTAGAATCCCATTGTTGCGGTAAACTGAGGAACGGAAAGACCAATATGGAGTACAGGAGGATTTGTTTATATTTTAGGTACGCACCGGCCCAGACGATTCATATCCAAAAAGCTGAGAATTGAACGAAGACAAAGCGGGGTTTTTATAAGCTGCCTTACAGATACAAAACAAAAGCAGTTAATCATACAGTGACAGGCCATGTAGTCTATAGCATAATTTAAGGCCTCGCATAGCCAGTGTCCTTATACCTGCATTGAAAGGAAAACAAGCATTGGCTAAATACAGACATTTGTAAAACATAATAATGCTTAAGAAGCCTTGGAAAAGAGTAACAGTGAAAGTATCTGTCTTTCTTTCTCTCTTTTTTTCCTTCAACCTTGCTCTGAACGGGAGGGGTGTCTGGAGCCCATTCCTTTGGCCTTGGCTATTTGGACGGTTTTATCTTCTGTCCTTGAAGTAAGCTGCTAGGCAGAGGAAAACTTGTGCTTTTCAACCCTTGCCTTGCCACACTCTGGGCCTTAGCTTTTACTTTTTTTGGAGTAACTAAATTCAGTACTTATTATTATTTTTAAATTTCTGCCTCACGATAGACCCTAAATGATAGTTCCTGTTAACTGCTCTATAGATAACAACTTGAACGTTAGATGTTTTCCCTTTGAAATATTTCTATTTCAGGGTTGGGTGCATTTGTTCATGACTGTAATATCAGCACTTTGGGAGGCTGAGGTAGGGGGATCCCTTGAGCCTGGGAGTTCAAGAACAGCCTGGGCAATATAGTGAAACTCCATCCGTACAAAAAATTTAAAAACAGCCAGGCATGGTGGCATGTGCCTTTATTCCAGCTACCTGGGAGGCTGAGGCAGGAGAATCCCTTGGGACTAGGAGTTTCTGCAGTGAGCTATGATCCCACCACTGCACTCCAGCCTGGGAAACAGAGTCATACTATGTCTCTTAAAGAAAAAAAAAGGAAAAAAGAAATCCAGACATTTGTTAGTCTTTGGATTATCGGAGAGCATTTATCTGACACTTAGTCCAATGTTTGAGACCAATATATAGATTTATAGAAAGGGGCACTTTGGGTTTGGGACACAGCTCTGCAGGAAGCTTTGGACACACTGACATGTTAGTATGGCAGGCACAAGCCTCAGGCACACCTTTAGAGGGTAGAGCTGTAAGTTCGGATGTTACAGCTGCTGCTGAGGGTAAAAATCGGGCCTTATGGCAACCACAGTGTGGTAAATCAGTCCCTTTAGGATTTTGGTTGTAATGATGACAAAGAGATGAAACCAGACACCCTTGAATTGAACAAGTTCTGGTAGTAAATAATGCTTTCCAGCAGGTGGAATCCTTAAGAAAGAACCTTTCTGTGACTGTGAGAATGGGACTACCATGCCTGGCGAATTTTTTGTATTTTTGGTAGAGACGCGGTTTCACCATCTTGTCCAGGCTGGTCTGGAACTCCTGAGTTCAGGTGATCCACCCCCTCAGCCTCCCAAAGTGCTGGGATTACAGGTGTGAGTCACCGTGCCCAGCTTCCCACTAAGTCTCTTTCATTTGGCCTGGCACAGTTTCCCATTCCTTAATCCCAGCACGTTGAGTGAATGAGGTGGGTAGATTGCTTGAGCCTGAAAGTTTGGCCTATGACCACCTTGGGCAACATAGTGAGACCTAGTCTGTATTTTAATAAAGATATATATATATACACACACACACACACACACACATTTATATACATAAAACATGGTGAGCGTGGTGGCTCACGCCTGTAATCCAAGAACTTTGGGAGGCCAGTGAGTGGATCACCTGCTGTCAAGAGTTCAAGACCAGCCTGGCCAACATGGTGAAACCTTGTCTCTAACTAACAATACAAAAATTATCCGGACATGGTGGCGCACACCTGTAATCCTGATTATTCTGGAAGCTGAGGCAGTAGAATCGCTTGAACCCAGGAGGCAGAAGTTGCAGTGAGCCGAGATCACGTCATTGCACTCCAGCCTGGGCAACAGAGCACAAACTCCATCTCAGGAAGGGAAAAAAAAAAAAAGTGAAAGTTCCCTTTTTGTCCCTAGTTATTATGGGCTATCACTACTATCACCAGTAGTTGCTTATGAAGCACACCTATTCTCACAATGGGTCCAAGAGGAAAAGTAGATTTGGAGACTGTGGGGAAAAGAAAGATCAGACTGTTACTGTGTCTATATAGAAAGAAGTA